GGAACTAGGAAGTCTGTGTGTGCTTCCTAGCCTTTTCACCTTTAGTATAAAGGAGATGAAGCTGTTTTATGAACACACATTCCAGTGTACACAGAAGAACGATGACAAAAGACACACTGGGGTTCCTATTCCTATAAAAATTTTGGCAGGATGAGGCAGACAATAAAGAATGAAACAAATTTTAAATACTTTAATAAAAAAAGAATTGAGGTTTCTGTTAGATTTATTTTTTAAATTGATAATACTTTTACATATTACAAAATTCTAAAAAACATAAAAAGATAGTGTTAAAATTATTTCTCATCCCAGCTCCCCCCAATCCCTTCCCAAGGGCAGAAGGTACATATACTTACTTTTCGCCCTCTCAGCGACTCTGTGCCTGAGTATACATAAGCAAATGCTTCCTCTCTACACATGAAAAATACTATAAAGTTTTACATCTTGCTTGTTTTCCTTAAGATGTCATGTAGATTTCTCCCTCATTAGTAAGGGAAGTCTCCACTAAGGCTATGATCTCTGTTTTGCCATAAACCATGGTGGATTTGTTTTGAAAAAAAATTTTTTTTTTCCCAGACAGGGTGGGTTCCTCTGTGGCTTTGGAGCCTATCCTGGAACTAGCTCTGGAGACCAGGCTGGCCTGGAACTCACAGAGATCCACCTGCCTCTGCCTCCCGAGTGCTGGAATTAAGGGCGTGCACCACCACCGCCCGGCTCCTCTTCTTTTTTCTTAAGAGAACATGTGGAGGAAAGTAGTTAGGTAAGGGTGAGCTTTTCTGTGAATGTTAAAATGAATAGCATGCTTTGTATAAAAACTCTAGCTTTTCCTGGCATTAACAGCTGAGGTTTCCCATAGTGCTCTTGTAGAGACTTCACACAAAGTTGGGGTAGGGAGAGGGGATTTGAGAACAAAGGTTGTCAAATGACATTATACCCCTCCCTGATTTAGCACAGCTCAGCAGCTTGATACCAAACCAGAAGTCAGTTCACCGTATCAAAGCAAGGAGGATGGAATGGACGGGAACAAAATTTAAGTTATTCAAGTAACCAACAAAAGACAGAGAAACAGCACAACTTGAAGACTTAAGAAAGAAACCAGCCGGGCAATGGTGGCGCACACCTTTAATTCCAGCACTCAGGAGGCAGAGGCAGGTGGATCTCTGTGAGTTCAAGACCAGCCTGGTCTACAAGAGCTAGTTCCAGGATGGGATCCAAAGTCACAGAGAAACCCTGTCTTGAAAAACCAAAACCAAACCAAACCAAACCAAAACCAAACAAACAAACAAACAAAACAAAACAAAAAAAAACCCCACCAAACACACTGTATAGATTATGGTTAGAATAAAGCATATACAAACTTTATGAAGCAACCAGGAACATCTTAATATTGGTTATTTGATGGTATTTGTTATATTTTTCCTTGAGATGTAAAAGAATAATTTTTCTTAATATTTTTTGCTCCCGTTAAGAAGAGTATAGTCAAGAACCTCTGGACACTGCTTTCATCCAGATTCTGGCCCAGAAGCACTACCAAAACATCAACAGGGCAAAACCCCAGATAGGATGGCTTAGTGTGACTATGCAAATGGTTTTGTCCCTGTGTATCAATATGGTTATGGCTATATACACTTAGTCTTAGCCTTTTAGGAATATATTCAGAGATAAAGGAAACATTTTCTGGGATGGGTGTGAAAACAATACAGGGAGGGACAGGCCTGAGGAGACGGGCGGGATATCCAATGAAAATGTATCATTGGATACCTGCCAGAAGAGGGCATCAGATCTCATAACGGATGGTTGTGAGCCACCATGTGGTTGCTGGGAATTGAACTCAGGACCTCTGGAAGAGCAGTCAATGCTTGTAACCTCTGAGCCATCTCTCCAACCCCTCATGGCTCTATTTGTTAAGAACAAACTCACATGGTTGTTAATATAGCTTTGTTCAGTCAGTTTCCAGTTTAGAAAAGGTTGGCTATTATTTGTGTACTGGGCAGAGAACTGAGGGCCTTCTACATGTTAGAGGTGTTCTACTAATGAGCTACACCTCCAACCCTCTGTGTTGAGTTTGTATCAGGGCTTCTCCATCTCAGTACTATATTTGGGGCTAGAAGATTCTTGGAGGAGTTGCCCTGGGCACTTAAGTATGTTCAACAGAACCTTGGCCTCCACCAGGATGCCAGTAGCATCCTTCAAGTTGCAGTGACACCATTACCAAATGTCCTCTGTGGATGAATTATTGCAAATGGGTACCTCTGACTAACAGCAACCCTAGATATTCCAAGTGGTTTTCACAGGAACTGTGACTCCTTTAAAGAATGTTGTAGATGGGCTGGAGAGATGGCTCAGAGGTTAAGAGCACTGACTGCTTTTCCAGGGGTCCTGAGTTCAATTCCCAGCAACCACATTGTGGCTCCCAACCATCCGCTATGAGATCTGGTGCCCTCTTCTGGTGTGCAGATATACATGGAAGCAGAATGTTGTATACATAATCAATAAAATCTTTAAAAAAAAGTTAAAAAAAAAGAAACACGCCATTGCTTTGTGTATATTTTGAATTTAGGCAGAGTTCCCCACATATGCCACAGTATTTTGGATTGTTTAAAAACTTTCATAAGAGTTCATCACAACTCGGCAAAATCACCTGGGACACATTAATGTCCCTTGTGGCAGTTTTGTAGACATCCGTGTGCCTTGCAGCAGTCTGAAAGTTACAGGTCATTGACCTAGTGAAAATAAGCACACATAAAGACATGGCAAGATGCCATACTGACTCAGTATATACCATTCGATTATAAATTAGCCATTGTTTACAAAAAGGGGTCAGATATTATTTTTGCATTATGCCAGTGCCGAGGTTTTATTACCGGTCAACTCATTTTAGGGTAATGGAGAAAACATCTTATTCTGTCTACTGTTGCTGGATATAGGGGCACAATGTTCATGATCCTAGAATTAGGGAGGTAAAGGCAGAAGGACCAGAAAGTCAAGGTCATTCTTAGATACAAGGTGAGTTCGAGGCCAGCCTGGGCCACATGAGACTGTCTCAGGAAAACAAAGAAAAAGTCTGTTAAACAGGAACCCGAGCTTGATACATTTGAGAACCACAAACCTCAAGGGTTTGGGAGGCACCACTTCCTCATGAAGTCAGAGGTCACCACTGACATTATGCCATCTTCTCTTTGTGGACTTAACGTTTGTACCCAGTAACTCCAGAGTTATCTTAAGTTTCCTTCCTATGTAGATTCTCTGATGTCAAATAACATAGAATTGCCCATTGAAGGTTCTTCTACCCCAATAACATGCACAGGGGTTTTCTCCTGCATAATTTCATGAAGGTCAAACAAGGCCAGTGCCCTGCTTGCTTGTCCTGCCTTTGCCTGGGCCATGGGGATCTCTCTTGAATTTAAGTGTGGATTCTGAACGAGCTTTGAGCCCCGACCACAGGGCCGTTGTCCGTCCATGTGGTTCTTCCTCTCTGTTGTGACTTCTCTGATGTCGGATGAGGTGAGAACTCTGAGTGAAACATTTCCCACACTGATTGCATTTAAAGGGCCTGTCGCTCCGCTGAGTCCTTTCTTCTTGACTCAAAGGTGGGTCACAGTTGAGGGGTTCTGTCCACTCATGCTTTGTTAAAGCTGATGTCTGCTCAAAGATCAGCCTCTGTCGGCACTCATAGGGTTTCTCACCTGCATGCTTCCGCTGATGCTGGGCCAGGGAGGAGCTGTGCCTGAAGCCCTTTCCACAGTGATTACACTCATACGGCCTCTCCTCAGTGTGCGTCCGCAGATGCAAGAAGAGGCAAGTGGTCCTAGAGAAGGATTTCCCACACACGCTACAGGTGTATGGCTTCTCCCCGGTGTGTGTCCTCTTGTGTCGCCCGAGGGATGAATTCTGATTGAAGGCTCTCCCACAGTCCTGACACGCATACGGTTTCTCTCCAGTGTGAATTCTCCTGTGGACGGTAAGGTGTGTACTGTGGCAAAAAGATTTGCCGCATTCATCACACTTATAGGGCTTGTCTCCGGTGTGGATTCGCTCATGTTGAACAAGGGAGGAGTTTTGGCTGAAAGCTTTCCCACATTCTTTGCACATATAAGGTCTCTCTCCTGTATGAATTCTCTTGTGCACTGTGAGGTGTGCATTGTGGTTAAATGACTTCCCGCAATCAGTGCATTTATAGGGTTTATCTTGCACCTGACTTTTTGTGAATTCTGTAATGGGCATAGTCTGATCAAAGGTTTTTTGACAGCCACTGTCATCAAAGGGCTCTGTTGCTGGGGAGTCTGTAGGTTGACTAACTAAGCTTGGGTTATGTTCTGAGTTTTTAACTTGGGAGCCAGGAGTAAAGCCATGTTCTCTTCTAGAAATATCTGGTAATAGATCTGTGCTTACACTAAGAACACAGGTCTCCCCAAGTCCAAGACTTGCATAGCTTTCACTTGGTATTTCTTTGGGGCCTTCCAACTGCCCTAAGTAAATCTGGTCCTTCTTGAGTGCCAGCCTCTGGTAATCACTTTTCTGATCTATCCCTGTCATGGAATGACAAGAAATAGCTCTTTCAAACCCATCCCTTTCTGTAATGGGGGATAGTTCCTTCTCAGGATGGTTCTGCTCCTTGAATGATGTGTGGTCTTCAGGTCCAAGAATCCAACCTGAAAGAAAAAATCAAAGAGCTCTGAGTAGGGAAAAACAAGGAGAGGGGCAGGTTCCTGTCCTGGAACTAGCTATGTAGACCAGGCTGGCCTCGAACTCACAGAGATCCGCCTACCTCTGCCTCCCCAGTGCTGGGATTAAAGGCGCGCACCACCAACACCTGGCTCTTTTTGGTTTTTCTAAGACAGGGTTTCTCTGTACAGCCTTGGCTGTCCTGGAACTCGGTCTATAGACCAGGCTGGCCTTGAACTCACAGAGATCCACTTGTTTCTGCCTCCTGAGTGCTAGGATGAAAGGTGTGCATCACCAGGCCAGGCTAAGTTTTTAATACCTAAATAGAATCCTTTCTGATAACACACTAGCAGAAGGGTATGAGGAACAGGTTTACAGAATCTAACATCCAAAAACTGAGCAGAACACGGAGATGAAAGCCATGAAGAGGATGCTGGGAAGGCCGATGAGGAAAGAACTGGCCTAGAGAGGAAGAGGGAGCAGAAATGCAAGCGAGGCAAGCCTCTCACTGATGGAGAGGAAGAAGAGCTTTTGTGAGCATAGGAGGGTGAGGCTATGGGGAATCCTCCACTGGGCACCTTCCGGAAATCCATGACAACTGGCCAAGCTGATAGTCCTGGAGACATTTGCTCACAGGCTGGCCCTTGGGAGTATTAGCGAACATTAGGTTCCCACTACCCTAATTGGTAAGAAAAGTTCACTGCTCTACTGTTGTGGCTTGTTTCAAGCACCAGAATCGTGGCATGTATGAGGCAGAGGGTGCCCCCGGGAGAAAACCTGTCATCCTCTCTGGAGATAACAGTCCTCATGTATTATCAGATAACCGAGTGAATTCTGTCTGACTTCACAGACTAAAGAGCTGGAAGCTCAGGCCTGGTTCCTACCAGTGGCTGGGGGGTCGAATGACCCTTTCACAGGGGTCGCTTAAGACCACTGGAAATATCAGATATTTACACTGTGGTCTGTAACAGTAGCAAATTACAGCTATGAGGTAGCAGTGTAAATAATTTTATGGCTGGGGTTCAACACTGCATGAAGGGGTTAAAGGATCACAGCGTTGGGAAGGTTGAGAATCACTGCTTTAGATTTTGGCCCCCTGAACCCTTTTCCCTTCCCTCACAGGTTTCGCTCTGTATCTTTGGGCTACAATCAGTCAGAGCTGTGGGTAGGATGGTACCAAGTCCCGTGAACCCTCCTAGGAAAGGGATGAAATATCATTCTTCCCAGAAGCTCATCTCCAGTGGCCTCCCTCCTGGAATCTCCTCAGTGGGAGCACCCACTTGGTGGGGTTCTTACCTGGATGGAAGGCCCGGGTGCCTCCCCTCTCTGTCACCCAGAGCTCAGCACCTTGCTCCAGCTGGGAGATAACTGCAGGTTTGGGAAGATCAGGACCTGGAAATAGGAAAAGACCCAGGAGGTCGGAGGCTGCACTGGGACAAACAAGCCCAGCCTGCAGCTCAGGCTCTTGACCACCAGGACACATGTGTGAGCACCTTCCAGTCACAAGGATTTGGCTCACTGACAGAAAGGGCAGCCTCCCAACCAGTGTATCCTTCAGGAAATGAGGGCTCAAGGTTAACTTAGAGCCCCGTACCAGAGACCCAGAACTGGAACTCAGCCTGAGAAGGGGGCCTTACCCACACAGAGAAGGTGCCCAAAGGTCTCCAGCATGACATCTCGATACAGAGTCCTCTGGGTAGGGTCCAGCTGTCCCCACTCCTCTTGAGTAAAGTCCACAGCCACATCTAGGAAAGTCACAGGCTCCTGGAACATCACATGCGTTCTCAGTTAGTCGGGCCATCTACCTCTGTGGAAGAGGAAGGCCGGGAGAAAACAGGGAGGCAGGGACCCTGAGAAAATATACCCTCTGTGTGACGTACCTCAGGCCTCACGGGAAGCCTATATGGGTCACTATAAGTCGGTATGGGTTACCATGACAACACATGAGAGCTCTCGGCTGGATCAACCAAGACAGCCACAGCTGACCAGACCAGACCCGGTCAGACCACTGACATCAGGTTTATGACGTAGAGAAATGGTTACGAGGTTTTTGTTTTTTTGAGTGTGTTTGTGAGTGAGTAGTAGTAGCTGTGAGCGCAGGTGTGTTGGAGGTCAGAGGAGAGCCTCAGCTCTTTGTCCTCCACACATCCCTTTACTGATGGCCAGGCCATGTCAGCATTATCTGTTATATGATCATCAGGTCCCACCACCACCACCCCACTATTATATTTTTATTTTATTTTTGGTTTTTGGAGACAATATTTCTCTCTTTAGCCCAGGCTGGCCCCAAACTCCCAGAAATCCACCTGCCTCTGCCTCCTGAATGCTGGCATTAAAGGCGTGCGCCACCACTGTCTGGCTTTCACAGCACTTTTTTTTTTTTTTTCTTAAACACACACTTTTAGTTTAGCTCTTACCATTCCCTCCCATGTCCAAGTGGTCCTTTCTGGCCTGTACCAGTTTTTCTCAACACCTTTCCTCTCCTTCCCGCTGTCACGTTTGTGACGCACGTGTGTAGGTACACATGAGTGAGAGTATGCCCAATAGGGGCATGCATGGAGGCCCGTTGCTGATGTTGAGAACCATTGCTCTACCCGGATTCACTGAGCAGATCTCTCAGTGAAATCCAGAGCTTACTGATATTGGTCGTCTCCATAGGCAGCTTGCTTTGGGGCTAGCCTGCCAGTCTTCTGGGACTGGAAGTGTAGGTGGGCCACCACGCCCACCCAGCATTTATATGATTTCTGGGGATCTGAACTATAGTCCTCACACTTGTGCAGCAAGCATTTTGACCAGTGAGCCATCTCCCCAGGTCTCCTAACACTTAAAAAACAACCCCCCCCCCGACCGAGACAGGATTTTAAGCATCCCAGGTTTGCCTCAGACACACTGCATAGCCAAAGATGTTACCCACATGGGTCCTAGATGCAATCATTCATTTAGGAGATTGGCAGGAGACTGGAGAAATCAGAAGGCAATGTCATCATTAAATGCTACCTTGCTCTGAAGCTAGACAAAGACCATAAGGCAAGGAGGGCCAGGGCTATAGCTCTTATAGTTGGAAAAGTCAATCAACAGATATCCTCCCCCTAGAAACTTGGTAAAAGTGCGGCTCTGCTCTGTGGTGCCCATTTCTGACTTCTCATCTCTAGATTGAGGTTTTGTTTTTTTTTCTCTTTTTCTTTTGAGACAGGCTTAAGAATGGCCTCGAGTTTATCATCTTCCTGCCTCAGCCTCTCAAGTGGTGCTGGGCTTATAAGCAAATGCCACCATGATTGGCTTGGAATGTACATTGTCTTTAGCCACAAAGTTTGTAGTGACTTGTTGTAACAGTCACAAGAAACTACTGTACTAGACCTCAAAGACCTCTACTTGTGGTCCTTGCTCCTGTGGAGGCTAGCTTCTAAAATGGCCCCTCAGTGATATCCTGGTTTGCATACAGAAATGTTAACTTGTATAAATGACAGGAGACTGTGGAGATGACAGTGTAAAGTCTGAGCTGAGATCATAACACAGTTTCTACCTTGCCATCTCCTGGATCACCACTCTACAGGAAACCACACACACTACTCTGTGAGATCCAAGTGCTTCCACAGAGAGGCCAACATGGAGAAACACAGAATCCTCCTGCCAGCAGCCATGTGAAGCAATCATCTCGAAGGCAGGTCTTTAGGCCCTATCTGGTCTCAAGTAATAATTGTTAGGCTGTCATCTTGACTAACTTTTAAGAGCCTATTGCAAACCCATGAGCTAAGTCACTCTTGGCTTCCTACCTGTCAGAAACCATGAAGTATTTATTTCAGGCCACTACACTGTAACAGCTTAAAGGCACTTCTAACATCGTTTATTCTCTGTCAAGCTGCCAGCCTAATGACTGTCACCTGAGACTTGCCTGGGGCTGGAGACCTCACCTTCACCACGGCTCATGAATACAGCTGTTGATAACCCTCAGTTCTCAGTTCTCCACAATGGTCACATTTCACAGGAAAGGCAAATAACAGAAATCAGATAAGCTGCGATCTTAAGACTGTCAATCAGAGCATTTTGCACACCAAATGTAAAATATTGCAAATCTCCCCCTAAGCAAACCATTAGTAATTCTGAAGTCGCAGGAACTTACATATGAATTGTTTTTTTAGCTTTTGCAAGACAGACTATGGAGAACAGAATAAGCATCCAGTTTGTGTACAAAGTGCTGGAACTTTGATGGCCAAAAGTCCGTTGACTCTGCACTCAGGACAGGTCCTGAGGACGGTTCCCGCAATGCGGGTGCCTTGTCCCGCTGGCCACTCACCTGTCATCCCCGAGAAACGTCCTCTGGATGTGTGAGGAGGTGTGTGAGCCTAGCCTTGAACAGCTGAGCGAAGCCCGTGGTGCTTATTCGTATGGCCAAAGTAGACTGACTATATATTGTTCTTAATTTTTAACTTTAATTAATTTTATATATTAGTACTGACTCAAAGATGATGCTACTTTTGTTGTGATGGTATTTCCTTGGAGTTTCTTCTTCCTTCTTTCTTCCATTTCATCCATTGATTCATTCTGGGTCTCATATATCCCAGACTGTGGTTGAACTTTGTGTAACCCCAATTTAATTCCTGCCTCTGCTGGAATTAAAGTCGTGCACCATCATACCCTGTCCCGTGGACAATTTTCAAAATCAGTGACAGTAAACCAGGTATAGTAAGAACCAAAGATTCATAAGTTAACATTCACCGGTGTATGCGCAAAACAACAACGTAAAAAATGTTGGGGTGAAAGGTTCTTTAACAGTAGAATCGTGAAAATAAATGGGAAGTTAATTTGCTGGGACATGCAGAGGACCTCTTGACATATTTGAAGATAACATTTGAGACTCCTGTGCAAACTTAAATAGAAGAAAACTGCAGACTGGCTGGGGGCGGG